TGGTCCCTAGGTGGCTGTGTTTCTGTATTAGTTTCTGGGATCAAATGGCCCCTCAACCCAGTCCCCCAGGGCTCCCTGGGGGTATTATAAAATTTTCCTTTCCCTGCCATGCTCAAGACTGGGTGTGGCAGCGCTGCTAGGAGGAGCCAAGTCTTCAGGAGAAAAATGTCTATTCAGGATTGGAAGGACGGTCTGTCCCAGAGCTGGATTCCTGATCATTTCTCCCTATTCTGCTCCCCAGTTTCCACAAAAACCACCTTCCCCTGCAGTCTCGGAGAGTGTTTTTAATTGAAAGTTCCTATGCACTGGGTTTAGCAAGTAAAAGCATGTAAATTATAAAGACAGAGCAACCACACTTCCTCGAATCTTTCTCCACCCTGGCAGTGCATGGCCAGTGTAGAACTTCAGGCTGCCTTTCTGGGTGCAGCCTCCCACAGCTGTGGGTTTAGAACTAGAGTCCCCCACTACCATCAGCCCTATGGATCCCCTTCCACATTCAAGGGGTACACTGACACCAAGGGATGTGAATTTGGTGCAGTGTAATCTCCCTCTGAGTCTCTAGTCCCAGCTGCAATCGTTTCTTCCTCCAACCCAGACCCCCGATCCCACCTCTTTCCAGGCAATCTCTGACCTTTCCAGCTGTGTTTAACTCACCAATTCCAGTTGGATGTTATTCGATTCAGCTGTTTCTTCTATATGCTCTGTGAGAAGATGCAGGACTCGTCCATCTATTCTGCCGCCACGTTGTCTCCCACTGGACAAATTTTGTAGGCGGCTGTAATTGGGAAGACTGGAGTCTCTGTGTTCATGCGTTCACAGCCCAGGCAGCTGGACCCTGGGCATTGTGGCTGTAGGATCCCGGGTGTTATCCGAGGTCTCCCTGGGTGAAGTTAAGGCTGGGCTTCCAATCACAGCAGCTCTCCCCTTCAAGATGGCATGGTCTCTGCAGCAGAGAGGGCTGCCCTGGGAGAGATTTCAGTTGTAGTAGAGGCTGCCCAGCCAGGGGAGCCTGGTCCTCCAGTCCCCAACAGTCCTATGGAATATAACTGTTCCTCACTCACACATACACACACTCCCCACACGTCCACGCACTCCCCTTTCACTCTCTCACTCACTCACACTATTTCCCTCACTGCCTTCTTGTCAGCCACCATCTTGGAGTCCCCCAAACATTTTTATGATTAATATGATTTTTCAATAAGTTTCCTATCATCTTGGATTTTTAATTTAGGCTCTTAAATTACTAAAATCATTTTCTTTTTCCATAATTTTCAGCTTAATCTACTCAATAGTTTACTGGGCAATCAGCCTTAGATTTTCATTTTTGAAGCTGCATTAAGTATTTTACCATTTCATATATTTAAGTTATCAAAAATTAAATAGTACTGGCACTTATCAAATGTATACATTATATAATACATTAAACCTTATACATTAAATATATGTAGTTGTATTTAATCATCATAACAGATCTATGTAGATGGCATGATACAGATAAGAAAACTGAGGCTCAAACAGATTTAGTAACCTACCAACTATTGAACAATGTCAATTTTGAGTTTTACTTCTTAATTTTATTCATTTTTTTGACTAAAGGCTTTCATCTCTAAGGATTTTTATAATATTGACATTTTCATTAGAGTTTGGTAGAGATACTATACATGTGTATATCAAGCCATTGGTAGTGCTTTTATGAATTTCATTTAATGCTGGCGATCAAAGAAAATCCTTATTATATATATATATATCTGATTATACATCTTAACCCAAAGTTCATTTTTAAATAAAACTCAGGAATTGAGAACATATTTTATACTACATTTATATGCTTTTTTGACACTGTACTACACAATCTACTTTTTTAAGTGTGTTGTAGATTACCCCTCTTTTGAATATATGGATTGTATGTATTAACCATAAACTTTCATTATTTTTATGTAGTTTATGTATATTTTATAAAAAAACAACCAACAAATAATAACAATCATTTCACTGAAATAAAACAAAAATATTCTAAATTTTTCAAATCTGCTCTTAAACAATATTTAAAATAGAAAGGTAGAAAGTTCTTTTTAGTATTTTTTTAAAATATGGACACACTTGTTGATTTGATTCACATCAATTATGCTGAGGAAACTTACTATTTTTATTAAAACAACAAAAATAAAACAGGCTGGATAAGGGCTTGTTTAGCTTTGTACATAGAGAATGGTGATTCTATGAAGTACCTATTTTTGTTATCTAATAATTTAAAAATGGCTGAAATTTACAAGTAAGTAACTCAATAGCATGAGATCTATTTTGACATTTAACACTTTGATTTATTATTCAATTGATATGTTATCAAATCAAAATGTTTAAAATATGAAGACAGGACAAGAGGTTTAATCTGTATCATCGTACAAGTTTATATACCTACTTCCTTGCCAATAGTATTTCAAAATGTTTTGCAAACAGTACTCAAGACTAATTTAATGTTTTTACTAGAATCTTCATGGTAAAATATGAACTAAATTTTATAAGATATAAAATATTCTCCAATTTAGTGCTCAGAATAGGATTTTAATAAACAGAATGACATTTTTTAACAACAAAAAGCCTAGCTAAAATGTGCTATTCCTACAGAAAATGTTGGTTGTTCAAAATACAAGTGTCATAGTAATGCTTATGGGGTAGTGAAAACTAATTACTTACTCATAGAATAAAGGTGTGTTCACTGCCTGGTTGAAATTGATTTGCTTATTGAATTGTTCACCTCAAAGAATATGAAAATGATAGACTATGACAGGAGACCAGTGTTTGTATGAAGAAGATATTGTAAAAAAGAGATTCTATAGTATGTTAAATTATAAGAAAAAATGAATCTAGGTAGACCTTAAAATAGGAGTGCCAAGGAAAACAGATGGCAGCACGAAATGACAGAATACTGTTATGAGGGAGATAAGAAGTACAAAGTGGTCAACATGAATTATTGCAAGGCATTAAAATCAAATTTAGAAACACCCATTTGCATGGTGGAGGAAGTGGATGCTACAGAGACACACTCCCAGGACCAAACTGGAATTACAAATAAAATACAAAAGAAGCCCTAACCGGTTTGGCTCAGTGGATAGAGCGTCAGCCTGCGGACTCAAGGGTCCCAGGTTCGATTCCTGTCAAGGGCATGTACCTTGGTTGCAGGCACATCCCCAGTAGGGAGTGTACAGGAGGCAGCTGATTGATGTTTCTCTCTCATCGATGTTTCTAACTCTCTATCCCTCCCCCTTCCTCTCTGTAAAAAATCAATAAAATATATTAAAATAATACAAAAGAAAAAGAACAAAAACAAAAAAAATTCCTGAATAATGACGTGAAGGCTATCTGGAGAGAACCCTGATAACCAAGGACAAAAAGCAGCAACTGCATAGAGACTGGTAGGGAAGGCAGAGTCAAAAACAGGCTGCTCAGGATCCCACAGATTGCAGCTAATGTTCTGGAGAGATATATCAACTTTGGTGGTTGCCATTGAGAACTCTGGGGTCTAATGCCCAAGCTGGGACATCCAGCAGAGAGCACCAGAACTGAGAAAGATGCCCACATAACATCTAGCTTTCAAAAGCAGTAGGGTTGCTGTCTGCCAGAGAAAGATGGCTGGAAATACAAGCACCCTCTTAAAAAGCCAATGATCAAAATTTAGTGTGAAGCCACTCAACTTGGGCTTCAGCAGAGGGAGGGCAGAGTGGACTGGAACTGTGTGAGTAGAAACCAGAATTGGGGGCACTGAAGTTAAAGCTCAGAAGGCAAAACCCAAGTTTCCTGTGTGGAGCCATTCCCTCATGCTGAAGAGGTCATCTTTCTCAGGCAGACCATTCTTATCCAGGTGGTTTTTGCCTGGGGGAAGACAGTTGACCCACCCTATTGGAAAACCCTTTACCCCATTGTGTGGACCTTCTGAGACTCATTAAGAGAATGAGAATAACAATTAGTCTCTAGGCAGGTGATGGCGAACCTTTTGAGCTCAGCGTGTCAGCATTTTGAATAACCCTAACTTAACTCTGGTTCCGTGTCACATATAGAAATTTTTTGATATTTGCAACCATAGTAAAACAAAGACTTATATTTTTGATATTTATTTTACATATTTAAATGCCATTAAACAAAGAAAAATCAACCAAAAAAATGAGTTCGCTTGTCATAGGTTCGCCATCACTGCTCTAGGCTGAAGAAATTGCCCCACCCTGTTGGAAAACCTCTTGTCACCCCTGTGGATTATTGTGTGAGGCAATTCAAGATTGAATACAATCAGTCAGCAGTGAAATGTGGGTCAATGTAGGCTTTAAGCCTTTGCCTGACCTAATTGGCCAGAAAATGCATTTGACACTGTCCTGCACCAGAGATTGGGAAGTGTAACAGAACTACATAATATATAGTCACAAACCCAAATGGGAAGCTAAAATGGGGAAAGGAAAAAAAAAATGAAAGAACTAGGGAATTCTCCAGAGAAGAGATAAATGAAGTGGAAATAAGAAATGTATCTGATATAGAGTTCATAATAATGATGGTAAAGATGTGCAAAAGCATGAGAAAAGATATACTAAGTATAAAAAAGAATGTCCAGAAATAAAAAAAAATGATATAGCACTAATAAAGAACATATTGGAAAGCATACACAACAGATTAGGGGAAGCTGAAGATTGGATCAGTAAATTAGAACACAGGGTAGAAAAAAATTACACAATCAGAGAACAAAAACAAACAAACAATTAAAATACAGGAGAACAACTTAAGGGAGCTGTGGGACATGAAACATCTTTACATAAAAAGTGTTCCAGAAGGAGAAGGAAGTGAGCAAGGTAAAGATAATGTTTGAAGAAATAATGGCAGAAAACTTCCCTAACCTGGTGAAGGAAAATGTCACACAAGTTTCCAGAGACACAGAGAGTCCCAAGCAAGAGGAACCCAAACAAGCCAATGACCAGACACATCATAATTAAAATGTCAAAAATTAAAGACAGAGTAACAAGATGTCGGCTGCGGTGCCAGAGCTGAAGCAGATCAGCCGGGTGGAGGCGATGCGCTTGGGGCCGGGCTGGAGCCACTCGTGCCATGCCATGCTGTACGCCGCCAACCCCGGGCAGCTTTTCGGCTGCATCCCCATGCGCTTCTCGGTGCTGATGCAGATGCTCTTAGACGGGCTGCTGGGCTTCCCCGAGGGCTTCTGGTCATTGGAGGATGGACTGAACCGGGTGCTGGGCCTGGGCCTGGGCTGCCTGTGCCTCACCGAGGCCGACTACCTGAGCTCGCACCTGACCGAGGGCCCGCACCGTGTCATGGCGCACCTGTACGCGCTGCAGCTGACGCTGGAGCAGCTGCACGCCATGGAGATCAGCGTGGTTCATTCGCGCGACCACAGCCTGGAGGTGCTGGGACTGGTGCGGGTCCCGCTGTACACCCAGAAGGACCGAGTTGGTGGCTTTCTCAACTTCCTGAGCAATGCCTTCATCAGCACGGCTAAGTACCAGCTCCTCTTCGCCCTCAAGGTGCTCAACATGATGCCCGAGGAAAAGCTGGCTGAAGCTGTGGCTGCAGCCACTGAGAAGCAGAAGAAGGGAAGACAGTTGACCCACCCTATTGGAAAACCCTTTACCCCATTGTGTGGACCTTCTGAGACTCATTAAGAGAATGAGAATAACAATTAGTCTCTAGGCAGGTGATGGCGAACCTTTTGAGCTCAGCGTGTCAGCATTTTGAATAACCCTAACTTAACTCTGGTTCCGTGTCACATATAGAAATTTTTTGATATTTGCAACCATAGTAAAACAAAGACTTATATTTTTGATATTTATTTTACATATTTAAATGCCATTAAACAAAGAAAAATCAACCAAAAAAATGAGTTCGCTTGTCATAGGTTCGCCATCACTGCTCTAGGCTGAAGAAATTGCCCCACCCTGTTGGAAAACCTCTTGTCACCCCTGTGGATTATTGTGTGAGGCAATTCAAGATTGAATACAATCAGTCAGCAGTGAAATGTGGGTCAATGTAGGCTTTAAGCCTTTGCCTGACCTAATTGGCCAGAAAATGCATTTGACACTGTCCTGCACCAGAGATTGGGAAGTGTAACAGAACTACATAATATATAGTCACAAACCCAAATGGGAAGCTAAAATGGGGAAAGGAAAAAAAAAATGAAAGAACTAGGGAATTCTCCAGAGAAGAGATAAATGAAGTGGAAATAAGAAATGTATCTGATATAGAGTTCATAATAATGATGGTAAAGATGTGCAAAAGCATGAGAAAAGATATACTAAGTATAAAAAAGAATGTCCAGAAATAAAAAAAAATGATATAGCACTAATAAAGAACATATTGGAAAGCATACACAACAGATTAGGGGAAGCTGAAGATTGGATCAGTAAATTAGAACACAGGGTAGAAAAAAATTACACAATCAGAGAACAAAAACAAACAAACAATTAAAATACAGGAGAACAACTTAAGGGAGCTGTGGGACATGAAACATCTTTACATAAAAAGTGTTCCAGAAGGAGAAGGAAGTGAGCAAGGTAAAGATAATGTTTGAAGAAATAATGGCAGAAAACTTCCCTAACCTGGTGAAGGAAAATGTCACACAAGTTTCCAGAGACACAGAGAGTCCCAAGCAAGAGGAACCCAAACAAGCCAATGACCAGACACATCATAATTAAAATGTCAAAAATTAAAGACAGAGTAACAAGATGTCGGCTGCGGTGCCAGAGCTGAAGCAGATCAGCCGGGTGGAGGCGATGCGCTTGGGGCCGGGCTGGAGCCACTCGTGCCATGCCATGCTGTACGCCGCCAACCCCGGGCAGCTTTTCGGCTGCATCCCCATGCGCTTCTCGGTGCTGATGCAGATGCTCTTAGACGGGCTGCTGGGCTTCCCCGAGGGCTTCTGGTCATTGGAGGATGGACTGAACCGGGTGCTGGGCCTGGGCCTGGGCTGCCTGTGCCTCACCGAGGCCGACTACCTGAGCTCGCACCTGACCGAGGGCCCGCACCGTGTCATGGCGCACCTGTACGCGCTGCAGCTGACGCTGGAGCAGCTGCACGCCATGGAGATCAGCGTGGTTCATTCGCGCGACCACAGCCTGGAGGTGCTGGGACTGGTGCGGGTCCCGCTGTACACCCAGAAGGACCGAGTTGGTGGCTTTCCCAACTTCCTGAGCAATGCCTTCATCAGCACGGCTAAGTACCAGCTCCTCTTCGCCCTCAAGGTGCTCAACATGATGCCCGAGGAAAAGCTGGCTGAAGCTGTGGCTGCAGCCACTGAGAAGCAGAAGAAGGCCCTGGAGAAGCTGTTCCCATCTTCTTCCTGAGTATGGTCTAGAGGCAGCTCCCAGAGATGGTCTGGAAATACCCGTCAAGTGTGCAGAATGACAACAGCAGAGCCACCACAGGCAGGAAGGTCACCACTGGCAGTCTCCTATGGCCCCAAGTCTGGCTAAACTCAGTGAAGCTACTGGAAAGTCTCCACAGTGCCTACCCAGCCTAAGAAAAGCGGTGCTCCCTGCCCAGCCTGGGCACCTGTTCCACCTTAGAGCCTTGATGAAGCAGCCACACTGGGCGAAGGCACTCCACTCTGTAAATAAAATACCTGTACTTTGGAAAAAAAAAATTAAAGACAAAGAAAGAACCTTAAAGGCAGCAAGAAAAAAGCAATTTGTTACCTACAAAGGAGCTCCCATAAGACTGTCGACTGATTTCTTATCAGAAACTCTACAGGCCAGAAGGGAATGACATGATTTACACAAGGTAATGAAAATCAAGCATTTATAAAACCAAGATTACTATATTCAGCAAGGCTACAATTCAAAATAGATGGTGAAATTAAAAGCTTCCCAGACAAAAAAAAAAAAAGGCTAAAGGTGTTCATTACCAACAAGCCAGCATTGCAAAAACTGCTAAAGGGACTGCTGTAATGAGAAGAAGAAACAGAGAGAAAAATCTAAGCATATAGAATTAAAATGGCAATATATAAGTACTTATCAATAATAACCTTAAACAAAAATGGATTAAATGTTCCAATCAAAAGACAAAGGGTAGCTGAATGGATACAAAAGTATGGCCCAACTATATGTTGTCTATAAGAGAACCACCTCAGAACAAAAGATGCACACTGGGTGAGAGTGAAGGGATGGAAAAATTTCCATGCAAAAGGAAAAATAAAACAACAAAAAAAGCTGGAGTAGCAATACTCATATGTGACAACATATATTTCAAAATAAAGGTCATCACAAGAGACAACCAAGGTCACTACATAATACTAAAGGGATATATCCAACAAGAGTATAAAACTCTGGTAAACATATATGCACCCAAAATATGAGCACCAATATTTATATAAAAACTTCTAGAATACTTTAAGGGAGAGATCACCAACACTAGAGTCATAGTAGGGGACTTTAACACTCCACTGACTTCACTGGATAGGTCTTCCTGACAAAAAATTAACAAGGAAACAGTAACTCTAAAGGACACACTGAGTCAGATGGATTTATTTGACATTAACAAAACATTTTACCACAAAGCTGCAGAATATACATGCTTCTCAAGGGCACATGGGTTATTAACTAAGATAAAACACATGTTAGGGCAGAAAACAAGTCTCTACAAGTTCAAGTAGATTAAAATAATATAAAGCACCTTCTCAGATGATAGTGGAATTAAATTAGAATTCAACTACTGTAAAAGCCCCCTCCCAAAAATATTCAAACACATGGAGGCTACATAACATGATGTTAAACAATGAATGGCTTATGAATAAGATCAAGAAAGAAATAAAAAACTTCCTGGAAACAAATGAAAATGAACACACAACAAGCCAATATGTTTAATTCCCTCATGGATTCCCCATTTAACCAATTCTATAAATATCCTTAGTCTCTCAGTGTATATCAATGTGGTCAAAAGAAAGTATCTGATTAAATTAATCCTAATGGAATTATGAATAGCTGACATTACTATGTTGTCCTTAACTTTTTATGTGATTTAAAGGATGGATTTCTTGAAACTGCTTGGATCTATGTTAAATTTCAAAATAGTGCCTTTCAGAAATTTTGGGTAAAGTTTGTTTTTATTAGAGACTTTTCCAGAAAAAAAAATCCAACACTTATTGGTGTTGTGATATCTATATTATGGTGAAAATTTATCTTTTCCCTTCTATCAACACATCTTCTTTCTCTTTTTCTATTTCACCTTGTGCCAACACCAACCTTTAGGGGGCCTGAAGTGGAGAATTCTTTATTTCAAACTTAAAATTCCTTTAGGGAAAATAATTTCCACTCATGAATAACTTTCTTTTCCTAAGTCATTATTAGCAAAGACCTCAATTTTTTTCTAGCACCTGAAAATATTAATATTACTTTTATCTATTTGCTAGTAAAGTGCTTTGACAGTGAGAAATTCTCACTGGAAAAGAATGAAGCTCTGCTTTCTAACTCTAGAAAGGCTCTGTTTATCTGTACAAATAATACAATTTGAAATGTTTGAAATAATTGTTTATTTATTATTAGTCCTTCACAAGAATTCAGTTTAATAGTGATCAAATTAGCATTATAATTATTAAATTAATATTGATTATATATAATTTGGCAGCAATACTGAAAAGTTCTATTTCATAGTTATCAGCTGAAGTAACAAAGCATATTGTTAAAATAATGTGAAGAATTATTTTTGAAATTATAACTTGAGACTAGAGGCCCGGTGCACAAAAATTTGTGCACTTGGGGGAGTCCCTCAGCCTGGCCTGTGCCCTCTCGCAGTCTGGGACCACTCGGGAGATGACCACCTGCTGGCTTAGGCCCACTCCCAGGGGGATTGGGCCTAAGCTTGCAGTCAGACATCCCTCTGGCAGCCCGGGAGCCCTCGGGGGATGTCCACGTGCCAGCAGGGAGCAGGCCTAAGTTGCAGTTGGACATCCTTAGCGCTGCTGAGGAGGCGGGAGAGGCTCCCACCACCACCGCTGTACTGGCAGCCGTCATCCTACCTTGTGGCTGAGCAGAGCTCCCCCTGTGGGAGCACATTCACCACCAGGGGGCAGCTCCTGCATTGAGCGTCTGCCCCCTGGTGGTCAGTGTGTGTCATAGTGACCAGTCATTCCCAGTCATTCTGCTGTTAGGGTCAATTTGCATATTACCCTTTTATTATATAGGAGTGCCTGGCCAGCCTGGGTGAGGGGCTGATGGCTGTTTGCAGGCTGGCCATGGCCCCCAGCCACCCAAGCTCCCAGTGGAGGCTGGCTGGAAGCAGGTATCTGGGATTTATTTATCTTCTATAATTGAAACTTTGTTGCCTTTATGAGGCCACAGCTGGCCAGGCAGGCAGGAAGCTTGGCTTCCTCCTTCGCCAGGGCAACCAAGCCTTCTGCTTGCTCCAGCTCAGTGGCTGCCGGCCGCCATCTTGGTTGGCTTAATTTGCATATAGTCGCTCTGAATGGCTGGTGAGTGTGGCTTGGGGCATAGCGGAGGGGTGGTCAATTTCCATGTTTCTCTTTTATTAGATTAGATGTGTCTTGCTAAAGAGATTCTAGTTATTAATATGAAAAGGAGTGCAATAAGAAGATTGGTAGAGTGTTGAAGGTCTTGAATGAGTTAAGAAAAATCTGTATGTTAACTTGGAATTGGAAAAAAAAAACATATCCGAATAAGTACATATTTCTAGTTGACAAAGAGTATTGAAACTTGAGTAAGAACTTGCTATAAGGAGACAATATATATAAATATATAGATTGGAAAGGTCAAATGAAGTATTTGCCCATTAACCCTCTTCCTTTCCAAAGTGATTTTTCTCTAAAACTGAGATTCTCATTTAAAAGTAATACTTAATTTGGAAAAATGAGCTACTTGTCACTATGAGTAATTATATTAGTTGGGATTTTCTCAAGAAAATAGAGCCACTCCAAACATTAATGAAAATGACAAGATATATTATAAAATTCAGGAAGAGGAAAAAAATGTGAACAGAACTTAAGAGTGAACTAGAAGCTGAATATAAAGTTTACTGAGAAACTCAGCTTGGTGTACCAATGACAATAGCTCTTAAAAGTTCACCAGGAAAGTGATGCAAGTCTTAAATATTTGTGAAAGCTCTCACCAAATGTCTCCAAAGCAGCAGAGTGCATGTCCACCTAGAAGTCTGAGAAGCTACTATAAATCTGTCTGCCCATGTGTGTGGTCTCCATTACCTTTCAGGAACAATAGCTTTACTTAACTTCACCATTCCAAATTTACCAGGAGCTCCCCTCCTACAAATTTTAACCCATAACCATACAAAAAATATGAATTCAGAAATGTAAACATCAGTGGGTTTAATAGCTAACAATTTATAATCTTGCATTGAAATCCTGAAACATAAAAGAAATGTAGGTTCCACAGAAAAGGGAATACAATGATCTATTTTCCTTCAAGCAGGAATTCTTGTCCTGCAATTGAATATTCACTTCCTACTGTCTGGTCCTCTTATTTGTCTTAATATAATATAGTGAAATATATTCAAAGTAAAATCCTGTTTAAAAGAATCTCAATTTACCCTTCCTTTGTTCTTTCTTCCCCCCTTCTCTTCCTCCTTTTCTTCCTTTCATCTTTCCATTTTGCTTTGAAGATCATTAAAAAATATTTCAGTGCATCTTTTCTCTTCCTCTGTTTGAGCTCTTCACTTTCTAAAGTTCTTTGACCAAACTTTACTGGTTATGAAATATACTAGTGACCAAGTGCACAGATTTGTGCACACTGAAAGAAAATTAATTAGAAGAAATATTTTAATATCACTATTTGCCCTTTCTCTATAATAGAAGTGTCAACTAAATTCACAGTCCACAATGACAGATCAAAACACACGTGTGTGATTGACACCAGTGAGAGCTTTATATGTATCGTGCCTGCACAAGTCAACTTAGCCTTTTATAGATATAGAATAAATAGACCTGTTTCTGATGTGGCCAAACTTTTTCCAGCACAGTGAAGCACCCCAATTTCTCTTTCAGGTAATTGTCAGCAACACAGCAGTATATACCAACATGAAGCAGATTATTATTGTAGATCACGCAGGGAGAACAAAGGGTAAAATGCTTAGCTGCAGCAGTGTTTGACTATATTCTGCGCAGTGAGAAAACCTGAAGTCATTTTCAAGGTCCACCATTTCTTCTTTTCAGTTGGGTCAAGTTTCTTAAGTTTTCTAAATCTCCATTTTCTGGCCAATGGAAAGAAAATAGGATTCCACCTAGTCTCCTATCTACCTACTCCAGGACTTCTGTGAGGATCAAATGAGATGAGGCATGGGAAAACACTTCACAGACATCTGGTTACAGTGTAAAATGTTTCCACCTGGTTATAAAGCAAGTCGTGTTCCTGGGCTGAAGAAACTTCAAGGAGGCTAGTTGCTAGGGAGAGGAAGCCAGGCATTGCTCTGTGACATCATTACCCAGACAGACCCTTAGCATATTAGCCTTTTATATAGAGAGATAATTAAATCTTCTGTGGAATAACTTAATGTCTTAAATGAACTCTCAATATTGCTTTTTTTTCTTTTATGAGGCAAATTCAGATATCTTCTTTTTGATATATACACCTTAAATGGCCACCTAAAGAAATTATACACACTGAAAAAT